GATTATTTTTTCCCCCCCCCCTTTACCCCCCCCCCCCCCTCCCCAGCCCAGCCCAGCACCATTGCACGAATCAAAGTAAAAAAGAAAGAAAGTTCACACATCATTCCGTTTTTCGTTGTGCTATAAGCTCGCAGGTCGCGGTGATGGACCAGGCATAGATAAGATGATGACCAACGAAAACCAGAGTGATGGGATGGGAGTCTTGCGATACGTCCTCGCTCGAGTCAGGACAGGAGGGGGGGGGGGGGGCGGGCGGGCTCCAGCTGCACCCAGTTGGGCTCGACCGAATGCCACTACACAACATTGGGGCGGTCACCGGCGGGGTCCGAAGGTGAGACCAAGCAGCGGTGGACCATAGCCACGGTCACATGGCTCTAGACCGAAGTAACGACCAGTCATTCCCAACTTATCTTTCTCACCATAAGGGACTCACGAGAGATTAATTCCACTGGGCTCTCCTTTTTGCTGAACGATTGACTCTCAGGGGTCTGACACACGGTAGAGCCTTCTTTCTACCCATTCCTACTCGTCCTATTTACCGGCTCGCGAGGCCTCCTTCGCCCCTTCCCTCCTCAAAACCAACACAACAACATGACGACCAGATACAGGGTTGAATGTGAGTGCAGCCACAGCGTGCTCGAGGCCCGATAGTCCTCTTTTCAAAGCAGCGCGTCCACGAAACTGACGTGACATCAAGATGCCCTCAAGACGCACAGGAGAGACCAGTTTATAGGTACGAATCCTTGTGCCACCTTGAATTTGCCCCGCCTAGGCGGCCAAGTCATCCCATCCAGCTGTGTTCTGTTGCCTACACCAGCGACAGTGCTCCGAACCATTCCATGACTGACGCACACGTCTTTCAGAATGGATCAAGGGTCTTCTGGCTGTTCCCTTTGTTCTCTACTCCCAGCCGACGGGAGTGCTTGATGCGAACGGCACGAGTCTCGCGCGGACGGCCGAGGAGGCTCACCGTCGGTATGCCGAGATCATGCGTGACGTCGAGCTCATGATCGACGACCACAGTGAGTGAAACGTGACACATCCGCGATATGCACAGGTTGCTAACATGATGGCCCTCAAAGTCACTCTGCAGCCAAACAAGGTTCCTTCCAAGCTGACCATGCTCGTCCCTGGGGTCGGTCCATTCTTCACACGCCTGCCCCTTGAGGCGGCCTTCAATCACCAGGATCGCAAGCGATACATATCATCTCGGCGCTATGTATCCCCATCCTTCAATGACGTCCGTCTTGTCCTCAACACGGCCCAGACAATGGCCGTCACGTCGGGTTCTCTTCAGCTCGCCACCTTTGATGGAGACGTTACCCTCTACGACGATGGTCAGTGCCTGGAGCCGTCGAGCCCCCTCGTTCCTCGCCTTCTTGATCTCCTCCGCCGTGATGTCAAGATTGGCATCGTCACGGCTGCTGGCTACACCACGGCCGACCGTTACCACGAGCGGCTCTACGGTCTCCTCGACGCCGTGGCGGCCTCGACCACCCTGTCAGAGGAGCAGAAGCGCAACGTCGTCATCATGGGTGGCGAGGCGAACTACCTCTTCGAGCTGGACCCCACCGTCCCGCACCTGTTGGCGCCCGTGTCCCGCGACCGCTGGCTCACGCCCGAGATGGCGACCTGGTCCGACGCCGGCATCGCCGCCCTCCTCGACGTCGCCGAAGCCGCCCTGCGCGACTGCGTTCGCTCCATGAACCTGCCCGCCACCATCCTCCGCAAGGACCGCGCCGTCGGCATCATCCCGACCGACCCGGCTGTCCGCATCCCTCGCGAGTCCCTCGAGGAGACGGTCCTCGTCGTGCAGAAGATTCTCGAGCTCTCCGCCCTCGGGTACGCCGCCGAAGGCGCCGACCGCAGCGCACCCCACCCGCCCGTCGGCGCCCGCATCCCCTTTTGCGCCTTCAACGGCGGCCGCGACGTCTTTGTCGACATTGGCGACAAGTCCTGGGGCGTCACCGTTTGCCAGAACTGGTTCGCATCCCGCGGCGGAGCCGCGTCCGGCGAGCCCATTCGCGG